GAGGGACAGTCTCGGGTGTTCCGTACTTCCGCTTGTACACAGTGCACGGCTGCTCGGTTGCTGGGTGTTGCATTATTCCAGCTTGGCCTGGGTCGGTTGCGGGGGCAGTCTCGCTGGATATGCCCCTGCTGGTTGCAGGTGTGGCAATGGATCGGAGGACGAGTAGGGTACCTGGGGGTGTAGGTATTTTGGTTTACCCCTGGTCGTGGCTGGATAGTGGAGGTCACAGCTGGTGACGGTGTTGTAGGATTTAGACCGGTCGGTGTTGGGTGCGCTGGTCCCTCCTGGTATATTGGAACTCGTCTGCCAGCTTGGCTGCCTCTTGCAGTGTCTGTGGTTTCCGGTCCCTTACCCAATTTTGTAGGTGGGGAGGTATCCCGTCGAAGAACTGCTCCATGACCATTAGCTGGAACAGGTCCTCTAGCGTGTTAACTTGGGTGGCTTCCAACCACCCTTTTGCGGCTCGCTGTGTGTGCATACAGGGATAAAATGGCTTGTTTTACTTTACCATAGTCTCTACTATCCTCATCTGGCACGGCCCGGTACGCCTCCGCTGCGCGACCGGATAGTCTCCCTGATAGTAGAGGAACACGATCCGCCATGCTGATGTCGTGTAGTTGGCACAAACTCTCAAAATCTTGTAAGTAGTCATCCACATCACTGTCAGCTTCTGTATAGTTCTTGAATGCTTGATATGGAATTTTGGCTTTCCCTGGGGTAATGCTGACAGGCGTTGTGGCTCTTTCTCCAGCTCGCTGATTTGCTTGGAGTCTGACTACCAGGTACTCCTGTACATCCGTCATCAGTTGGGACAGTATCTCTATGGGGGGGGGAGGGTTTCTGGATAAAAGGCTAACCTGCTCCTCATCTCCTCATCTCCTTGTCAAATTCGTTGGGATCTATTTCCCTGTGGAGCTGCTGCAGTGGTTTCTCTGTCTCCCTCCATGAGTTCTGCCACAAGGGTCGCTTTGGTTTTATTGCTGGCGCTTTTTCCCCTTGCTTCCAATAATTATTTCAGCGTAGTTCGTTGCAATGTTGCATAATTCGACTCCATTCACCAGTTGTTCGCATACTTTGACATATTTACCGAACAATGGTTTTATCCGAATGGTTTGTTCCGTCGAGCTGCTGCTTTTCTTCTTTATTCGTGTGATTACTACCGAACACTGGTTTGCTGTGTGTTTGAAATCCCGTCGCTTGCCACCAATTGTAGTGGAGAGGTAGTATAATACACAGTATCTCCGCTGGTAGAGAGGAACAGCATAGAATAATCCAGGTATAACAAGTACAGCATACAATAATCCCGGTAGTGTTGTATAAATCCTTCCTTCCCAAGAACTAGACGACACATAGGCTGGGAGGCAACTGCGCTTTTAATCACAGGTCACAGTATTTATGTGGTTCCCCATGCAAGGGGTTTCCCTACTGACTTTACACGGGTTGTACAGTAGGGGACTACATGGGGAACTTAACAACCAATATATTTCTCCCACCTTGCACTGCTGTACGAGAGGGGTACTCCTACTAGAATATCCTGTGCAGCAGAACTGGCTTTTCACATAAAAATAACTTTAACATTATCCATGCTATTATACTGAATGACCGTTCGGTAGATAGCTGGGGTCTGAGCGCACATTTTGTGAAAGTACCGCTCAGATCCCAGCACATCCAGCCGAACGCCGCATGAATTACACTTCAATATACACTTTGCATAAAAGACATGAATACACTTGCAGGGATAAAATACAGAAAGACCGGTACTCCCGAACGGCCTGGAAGTTCAGCGGTATTTGTGCCGTTGAGTAGCCGATTTTAGTCCCAGGTACTCGACGACCAAATACCGCTGGGCTAAGAAAGAATACAAGATTGCCGACCACCGCGTGTTTGGTAGCCGAACGGCGGCTACCCTGAATCTCGATAATTACTGAATGAAACACTGTTGCAATATTTAATGGGCGCCACACAACCTCCTGTGTGTGGTCTCCCATTCGGTAGTTAATTCATTTCACGAACAGGGTTGAAATTCACTGTTCGTGAAACTACTGCATGAATGCTGGTGGCTTTCTTGCCGCCAGCATACGAATGGTCTTGTTCGCACAATATGCCTATACAGGTATTCACTTGGTTCTTACAGTCTTTAAAGGGATAGTAACACATCCAGCCGAACGCCGCATGAATTACACTTCAATATACACTTTGCATAAAAGACACGAATACACTCGCAGGGATAAAATACCGAAAGACCGGCACTCCCGAATGGCCTGGAAGTCCAGAAGTATTCGTGCCGTCGAGTAGCCGATTTTAGTTCCAGGCACTCGACAACCAAATACCGCTGGGCTAACAAAGGATCCAAGATGACCGACCGCCGTGTGGTCGGTATCCGAACGGCGGCCACCCAGAATCTCTAATAACTACCGAAAGCTACAATGTTGCAATATTTAATGGGAGCAACACAACCTCCTGTGTGTGGTCTCCCATTCGGTAGTTTTGTTCGTTTCACGAACAGTGTTGAAATTCACTGTTCGTGAAACTACTGTATGAATGCTGGTTCATGCCGCCAGCATACGAATGCTCTTGTTCGCATAAAATACAGATACATGGCTATACTTGGTTCTAACAGCCTTAAAGCTACAACATCACATTAATGCAAATACAGTTCTAAGTGCCTAGTTTTGCCACAGATATCTTTTTTGTACCTGATATGTAGGCAATACATCTGGATATTTATTTATTTTTGCTGGCTGAGCATACTATTTGCAGGACTGTGTGTTCACTCCCCTGCATGCTACTGAGCGAGTTCCATTTATGCCTTGCATAATAATATCGAAGCAATCTGTAGCACTGTGAGCAAGTGGGATACAGTAATAGGGGGTTTACTCATTACTTCTATCTTTTGTATTTCCATCATCCTGATCGTTACTTAACTACATCTGGGGTCTGCTGTTTTGGACTTCCCCACGTATCCCCTTACCTCACTACTAGAAACAATACCCACATTACCACTTCATAGTTATATACGTATATGTATCCTTTCGAGTTCCCATATAGAATAAGAAATACCCATGCATCATGTCACTTTTATTTGCAGGGCATTCTCCATCATATTGACAATCTTGTGCTACATAATAATACAAATGCTGCAGTCTTTAGAGTGTATAAAATGCATATGAATACTGTCTTTAACCCTCCGAAGTGGCTAGGTTTGCCACAATGCTCCCCCAGAATCACAAGCCGGCATACACAGTCTGATCCCAACAGATCGGCTTGGGGATGTCCGGATCCTATTAACTCTGTAGTACCGATCCCTGCAGCTTCTCCGGAATTCCCAGCAGAATACTAGTGAAGTAGTGATTACAGCTCCCAATTCCTTCAAACATGAGTCGAGACTTCATGAAGGGGTAAAACGATCTGGTTTATTGATGGCCACAGGGGACCTTGTGGAAGACTGTGACACAATATACAGAACCAATCGGTTTACAGTACAATTATTAAACACACCCATAGTAACAGTGCAACCCCTCCTCTCTATCCTGGAGATAATTAGCTTAAGTGGTTGAAGAGAACCTCATTATCTCCAGGTAGAGAAAAACATGTCCTTTTTATATTTTAACAAACTGTATTAAAATCCATAACTTATATTTCGCTGAACGTAGTCTCCATGTTCCACATACCCCACAGGCAGCTTGGATCTGAGCGCGCAATATAGACGAATCCCACGAACACAGATCCCACGAACACAATTCTCAATATCGTTGACTAAAGTTTTTAGTTCACTGGTTGTTCGGGAAATTGAATCCGAAAAGAGTTCCATAACTGCAGCTACCTGGGGTCGGTCTATCCTGTATAGTAGGAAAGTTATTAGCCGTATGAACGGAAACTTGGTATGGCTGAATAAGTGTCCAAAAATAGTTCCAGAGGATCAACGACCATCTATCGCTGAGCGTTCAACGACTTTAAAATGGCGACCGCCACGTGTTCGGCAAACAAACGCGGACCGCCAAGCCTTTCATCAATTACCTTGCAGTTAACCGCAAGATCTGGGGGGGGGGGGTAAATGAGCTGCACATGGTTCGGTTTATTAAAAACTACACGAATTAGCCAGCCACACGAATAATTAGACAAAGTGCTGTTTCTCTGAGTCTGTTCAAACAGAGATTTCGTTACAATACCGTTTTGATGGTATCCAATCTGTATAAAGATTGGACATAGACCAGTATCTATTTTGTTGTAACTTTTTACAACATTATATCACGTCTACCAGAACCTGCACTTTCACTAGAAGTGAAGGCCTTTCCTATTTATCACTTGGATACCAGAAGTAGGCTTCAGCAGTTGGTCCTATTTTAATATTTAGTTTTTTTCTTTTTCTGCACTTGGTATTTACACTGTTTATTTATGGCTTTCTTATTTACCAGTTAGGGATTGTAGCGAGATAGTAGGTTAATCCACGGTATCTCCGCTGGTAGTAAGGGTTCAGCATGTAAAACACAGGTAGCATAGTAATTATCCTTTTTTTCCCCAAGAACTAGATGACACATAGTTTGGGAGTCAACTGAGCTTTTATTCCAAAGTCACCGGATTTATACAAGTCCCCATGCAAGGGGTTTCCATACTGGCATTGCAGGTTTTTTTTTTTTTTCCTTTGGTGGACTCTGTGGAAAACTTACCCTGCAAGGCTATTTTCCATCATGCATTGCTGTACTGGAGAGATAATTGAGTAAGAATATACTGTTAATTACATTATCTCTCCGGACAGAAAAATATAAAATTTTACATAAAAATCCATAACTTCTACATTTTTACTCGGAATTAGCCGAATGACCCTTCATTTAATGACTGGGATCTGAGCGCACCATCTGGTGAAATACCACTCAGATCCGTTCACTAGAATAGGAAAGCCATTCAAATGAAGGGTTCATATGAACACACATTGCAATTATACCATAGAAACTGTTAGAATATGCGGGTTCGACAGTTTTAAAACTGTTGAACGTCGCCCTATTTGAACAAACACAGCGGTGTTCGTGCAGTCCAGTAGCCGATTTTAGTTCCAGGCACTCGATGACCAAACACTGCTGGGCTTTCGTGAACAAAGATGGCCGCCGCCATGTGTTTGGTTATACAAACGGCAGCCACTCATAAAACCCATTACTGTTCTGTTGTTACAATGTTGCCGGTTCGTTAATTGGAGACACACGCCTCCCTTGTGTGGTCTCACATTCTTCAGTTCATTCGTTTCACGAATCATATTAATCTAATATGATTTGTGAAACAAGCATATAAATGCTGCAGTCTTTAGAGTGTATAAAACGCATATGAATACTGTCTTTAACCCTCTGAAGTGGCTAGGTTTGCCACAATGCTCCCCCAGAATCACAAGCCGGCATACACAGTCTTATCCCAACGGATCGGCTTGGGGATGTCCGGAGGAGTACCCACAGATCACTTTTCAAGTTCAGTTTGTCTGGATAACCTGTCAGCGTTGCCGTTTTGCTTCCCAGGGTGGTAGTGGATGGTAAAGTCAAAAGGCTGCCGCGCCAAACTCCAGGGCAGCAGCCTGGCATTGTCTCTTGACACCCTGTTTAGCCTCACCAACGGGTTGTTAAAGGGTTGCCCATACAAATAGGGCTGCAGCTTTTTAAGGGCCCACACCACGGCCAGGCATTCCTTTTTGATGGCGGCGTAGTTTACTTCCCTGGGTAGGAGTTTTCTGCTTAGGTAAGCCACTGGATGCTCGCTGCCATCTGCTCCGACTTGGCTCAGCACTGCTCCCAATCCAAACATAGAAGCGTCTGTGTGGACAAGAAAGCGTTAAGTTGGATCAGGAGCAGCAAGTACAGGTGAATTCACTAGAGCAGCTTTCAATTGTTGGCATGCCTGTACACACTCTGGGGCCCAGACTACTACTTTAGGAAGATTCTTGTGGGTTAGGTCAGTGAGGGGCTTGGCCAGGGTATTGTAATCAAGTACAAATTTACAGTAGTACCCTGCGGTACCTAGGAAGGATAGGACCTAGGAAGGCTAGGGTTTTTGTACGGAGGTTGGCCATTTGGCTACAGCCTCTATCTTAGCTGACTCTAGTTTTTGTTGGCCGCTCCCTACTCGGTGGCCCAGGTATTGGACCTCCGCCATCCCTGTGACACTTACTGGGTTTAGGGGGTTAACCCGGCTTCCCTAATACGGTCTAGTACGGCTCCTATGTGAGTCAAATGTATGGATTCTGTTATGCAATTAGGGGGTTGGCGAAGGGGGGTTTGTCCAGGGGTTTCTACCCTGTGAGTAGCTAGGGGGGTGTATCCGGGAAGGTTAGAAAATGTAGCTCCCTTTTCCCTAATTAGATCTTGAGCCTGTGTATCTCTCCCAGGCCCTTGTTCTGCTCCTCCTTTTCTAGGAGGTCTGGGAGAGGTAGGTTATCAAAGTCTTCTGCGGCAGAGGCGCAAATAGCGGTCACCTCTTCTATGCATTCATAGTAGGGCTTTAACATGTTTACATGGAGCATGTGTCTGCCACCGACACAGCTCACACATGGCCAGCCGGAATTTAAAAAAAGAAAAAGAAAAATTGCGGCGGGGCGGAGCTTACATGTGGTGGGGGCGGAGCTTACCGTGCGGCGGGGGCAGGGGGCTTACCGTGTGGATAACTGCTGCAGGGGAAGCAGGAAGGAGTCCCTGCTTCCCCACCAAACAGTCTCCATGAGCAGCACTGCCTCCACAATGAACTCCACAGGTAACTGTGTGATTGTCAGTGTGAGTGTGTATGACTGCCTGTGTGTGTGTGTGTGTGTGTGTGTATGTCTGTGTGACTGTCTGCCTGTGTGTGTGTGTGTCTGTGTGTATGACTGCTTGTGTGTGTGTGTGTGTGTGTGACTGTCTGCCTGTGTGTGTCTGTGTGTGTGTCTCTGTGTGTATGACTGTCTGCCTGTGTGTATGTCTGTGTGAATGTCTATGTGTTGAAAGCTGCGGTCCCTGGCTCCCCTATCATACCATCTGCGCTGTCGCTGTTGGGCCGCCTGGAGATTGGTACGTACCATCTGAGTCAAAGCCTCCAGGCGCTCCCTAAACTCTAGCACATATGGGACAATAGGAATACAATTAGAGGTCACTTCTCCCTCCCAGTGTTTTCTAATGAGGTCTAAGGGACCACTCACCCTTCTTCTGAACAATAATTAGAAAGGGGAGAACCCGGCAGACTCTTGGGGAACCTCTCTATAGGCAAACAGTAAGTGGGGTAAAAAACGTTCCCAGTCCTTCTGAGTGTCTATGAACGTAAGGATTATCGGTTTAAGTGTTCCGTTAAAACGCTCACAGAGACCGTTGGACTGGGGGTGGTAGGCGGAGTTTATGATAGGTTCTATCCCACATTCCTTCCAGAGTTGATGAGTGACCTCGGCAGTAAATTGGGTGCCCCTATCCGAAATAATCTCCCGGGGAAATTCCATGCGGGAGAAGATTCGCATCAGGGCATCCGCTATAGTTTCTGCATGAACATTGATCAGTGCCACCGCCTCGGGATATCTAGTTGCATAATAGACTACGGTCAAGATCTACTTCTTGCCGGAGGGACTGGGATTAGCTAAGGGTTCTATTAAATCGACGGCCACTCTACTAAAAGGCTCTTCAATTTTGGGCAGGGGATGGAGTTTCACTTTATAGCGGTCCCCTCGCTCCCCTACCCACTGGCAGGTATTGCTGGTTTGACAATACTGTCTAATGTCCTTTGAGATACCTGGCCAGAAGAAGTTCTGAGTTAGCCAATGTTTAGTTCGGCTAATCCCTAAATGTCCTGATAATGGTATATCATGCGCGATGCGCAGCAAATCCTGTCTATATTTGCGGGGAACAATTAACTGTTTAGTGGGCATAGGGATAGACCCGGCTTCTATCTTCTCTGCGTAGCAGTGTAGTAAACTTTTGTCCCAGGCATATCTCTCCCTCTAGACCAGCCTGGTTCTTGTCTATTCTATCTTTGTACACCTGCAGAGAGGGATCTAGGGCTACCTCACTGCAAAATTCTAAGGGAGCATCTCAGGGGAGAACAGAAGGAGTGTGGGGTAGGTTGCTCACCTGAGTCTCAGAGTGATCGGATGAAGCTGTGGTGCGGGCCTGCTGCCGGGTGACAACTGGGTAGGCTTCCTGGATGGTGGTTCGAGGAACAAAAGCGGAGGTGAGCTCCCCCAAGTCGTTGTCCAAAATAACATCTGCGGGCAAGTCCTGCATGATCCCCACCTCAACACCCCCTAACCCCGTTCCCCAATCCAAATGTACCTTGGCAGTGGGAACTTTGTAGATTTCTCCCCCTGCTACTCTTACTTAGTGATGTCGCGAACCCGAAATTTTCGGTTCGCGAACGGCGAACGCGAACTTCCGCAAATGTTCGCGAACCGGGCGAACCGCCATAGACTTCAATGGGCAGGCGAATTTTAAAACACACAGGGACTCTTTCTGGCCACAATAGTGATGGAAAAGTTGTTTCAAGGGGACTAACACCTGGACTGTGGCATGCCGGAGGGGGATCCATGGCAAAACTCCCATGGAAAATTACACAGTTGATGCAGAGTCTGGTCTTAATCCATAAAGGGCATAAATCACCTAACATTCCTAAATCACAATGGATATGGATTGACACCTGACATATGACATATTGACACCTTGACATATGGATTGACACCTGTCCTCAGAGACCCTGATACACACTGACACAGAGCAGAATAGAGACTGTTCCTCCTACATAGGGTCACTTGGCAGATATGGATTGACACCTGTCCTCAGAGACCATGATACACACTGACACAGAGTAGAATAGAGACTGTTCCCCCTACATAGGGTCACTTGGCAGATATGGATTGGACACCTGTCCTCAGAGCCCCTGATACACACTGACACAGAGCAGAATAGAGACTGTTCCCCCTACATAGGGTCACTTGGCAGATATGGATTGACACCTGTCCTCAGAGACCATGATACACACTGACAGAGAGCAGAATAGAGACTGTTCCCCCTACATAGGGTCACTTGGCAGATATGGATTGACACCCGTCCTCAGAGCCCCTGATACACACTGACACAGAGCAGAATAGAGACTGTTCCTCCTACATAGGGTCATTTGGCAGATATGGATTGACACCTGTCCACAGAGACCATGATACACACTGACACAGAGCAGAATAGAGACTGTTTCCCCTACATAGGGTCACTTGGTAGATATGGATTGACACCTGTCATCAGAGACCATGATACACACTGACACAGAGCAGAATAGAGACAGTTCCTCCTACATAGGGTCACTTGGCAGATATGGATTGACACCTGTCCTCAGAGACCATGATACACACTGACAAATAGCAAAATACAGACTGTTCCTCCTACATAGGGTCACATGGCAGATATGGATTGACACCTGTCTTCAGAGACCATGATACACACTGACACATAGCAGAACAGAGACTGTTCCCCCTACATAGGGTCACTTGGCAGATATGGATTGACACCTGTCCTCAGAGACCATGATACACACTGACACAGAGCAGAATAGAGACTGTTCCCCCTACATAGGGTCAATTGGCAGATATGGATTGACACCTGTCCTCAGAGACCATGATACACACTGACAGAGAGCAGAATAGAGACTGTTCCTCCTACATAGGGTCACTTGGCAGATATGGATTGACACCTGTCCTCAGAGCCCCTGATACACACCGACACAGAGCAGAATAGAGACTGTTCCTCCTACATAGGGTCACTTGGCAGATATGGATTGACACCTGTCCTCAGAGCCCCTGATACACACTGACACAGAGCAGAATAGAGACTGCTCCTCCTACATAGGGTCACTTGGCAGATATGGATTGACACCTGTCCTCAGAGCCCCTGATACACACTGACACAGATCAGAATAGGGAATGTTACCCCAACATAGGGTCACTTGGCAGATATGGATTGACACCTGTCCTCTGAGACCATGATACACACTGACACAGAGCAGAATAGAGACTGTTCCCCCTACATAGGGTCACTTGGCAGATATGGATTGACACCTGTCCTAAGGATCCCTGATACACACTGACACAGAGCAGAATAGGGACTGTTCCTCCTACATAGGGTCACTTGGCAGATATGGATTGACACCTGTCCTCAGAGACCATGATACACACTGACACAGAGCAGAATAGAGACTGTTCCCCCTACATAGGGTCACTTGGCAGATATGGACTGACACCTGTCCTCAGAGCCCCTGATACACACTGACACAGAGCAGAATAGAGACTGTTCCTCCTACATAGGGTCACTTGGCAGATATGGATTGACACCTGTCCTCAGAGACCATGATACACACTGACAGAGAGCAGAATAGAGACTGTTCCTCCTACATAGGGTCACTTTGGCAGATATGGATTGACACCTGTCCTCAGAGACCATGATACACACTGACACAGAGCAGAATAGAGACTGTTCTCCTACAT